CTTATTCTTGATTGTCAGTTTATTCAACTCCCAATAATCAATACACATCCTCATTGATCCATCCTTCTTTTTAACAAAAAGTACCGGTGCACCCCACRGAGAAGTACTTGGTCTGATAAAACCTTTATCCAACAATTCCTTTAATTGAGACATTAACTCCTTTAACTCAGAAGGAGCTAATCGATATGGTGCATGCGCAACAGGTGTTGCTTCAGGAATTAATTCAATCTGAAATTCTATCATTCGGTCTGGTGGTAAGTTTATCAAATCTTCTGGAAACACCTCAGGAAATTCCTTTACGACTGGAATATCTCCCATCTTTCCCTTCTCTTTCTTCATATCTATAGCATATGCGAGAAAACTAGCACATCCCTTCTGTACATACTTCCTAGCCTTTAGAACTGAAATTAGGCTGGAGTAACGATCACGCTTATCTCCATATATCACAACTCTTCCTTTTCAGGTAAGTCTATATGAATCATCTTCTCATTACAGACTATGTTGGCTTGGTTTTCAGCTAACCAATCCATGCCTATTATTACATCAAATTCTCTTAAAGGTAAATGAAATAACTGTATAGGCACCTGACATCCTTCTATACTTATAACACATTCACCAATTCTTTCCTTAACCACAACTTCACTATCATTTGCTGTTTCCACAATTAGATCCTCACTTAACACTTCAGATTCTAAATGTGCACAATGAACAAATGATGGTGACACAAAAGAACGATTTGCACCCAAATCAAATAAAACTTTGGCACATACTGAATAAACGAGGAATGTACCTGTTACTACTTCAGGGTGCTCTTCCGCCTCACCTCTCGTCGTTTGAAAGGCTCTCCCTTTGGCATTAGACTTTGCCTGTCTTATTCCTCCCCGTCCACTTGAACTAACACGGTTATCCATTTGCCCGCGACCTATTGGTACATACCCAGATCCTCGACTCCCAGAATATCCAGATCCTCGACCCCCAGCAAAACCAAACCCTCGATTCCTTGCTTGTGGACAACAGCACTTATATGTTGGGATGAATTACAAGTAAAACATCTCCGCGTCATCCGACAGTCTCGAGCTATATGTCCAGGTTCCTGACATTTAAAGCATACTCGAGATTCTGTATTGCAATTTCCCTGATGTATCTTATGGCATCGAATACACGCCTTATC